TATATACATAGTATATAAATTGTTAAAACATCACAAAGTATAAAGAAGTACTTTGGATCATAGAATATTAAAACAGTAGTGGGAATGCTGAGTCAGCATTCACACAATTAGACATCACTTCTTAATTGGGGTTAAGACAGGGTGTTGTTATCGCTCCTTGGAAGCCTTGAAAACCCCATCTGCAGCCAAACACTTAACTGAGAGGCTAATTTGTCTTTTAATCTCGGCCTCAAACTTATTACAGCTTGTTGCAACACTCAGTACACTCCTGCAAGAGTTTATATTTCAGAAAATGTATCCAGATTTTTCCCTTAAAGGCATGATGGAAGCTGTCAGAGCGGTGATTTGTCAATGTTTTACTACTTCTCATCGTAGAGCAATTTACTTCTCTCTCTCTCTCTCTCTCTCTCTCTCTCTCTCTCTCTCTCTCTCTCTCTCATCCTGCCCAGTATCCTTTCAACTCGTTCACATTTCAGTCTGGATTTTATAACTTTCTTTGCATTTCTCCGCTCTCTGGCTGCTGCCTATAGGAGGCTGATAGAGCAGTTGTGAGGAAGAGCTCATCATCAGTTTTATTGGGGCTCTTGTAAGGTTTTATAGCATCACAATATAATTCATAGACTCTGATTTATCACAAGCAAATACTTAAGTTCTTTGCGCAATAAAGTATTCTGGAACAAAAAAAGCAGTGAGCAAATCATAGATGAATAAGGACCTAAAATAGATTATGACAATTTGATTTTGTCATGTTGTACATAATTGTTGATGATTAATCTTACAAATCACTCAACCTTATGTGTGTTTAAACAGCACCTTGCATTCAGCTGAGCTTGTGATCCAACAACACAATATATATTCAGGCTTTCTTAGAAAAATAAAACCATTTCATTGGTTTTCTTTAAATGACTTCTTCCTCACAATGTACCCAAATATAATCCAGCTGTGAATACAACAWGGATTTTTGTCAAAACAGAAAAATATGAAAATACAAAGAATAAGAATAAGAATCAGTCACACCACGTTCAGACAAGGTCATGTTCAAATTTCCTTTTTCCTCCATATATAAATGTTGCATTAAGGACTCCATACTGATGCTAGAAAATGGTTTCTTGAACAAGTCCATTGCTTAAATTGCATTTTGATGAATGATTGTTCTCAATGAAAAGTTATCTGAGGAAATGTTGGATCATGATTGTCCAGTTTAATTGTGCAGCTTTGCTTTTTATGCACTGATATTTCTTCATATTTCCTAAATTGTTAATAACTTTCAGCACTAGAGTGGAGAACTATAAAAAACATTTTTGATAAACTTACCTTTTAAACTATTCTAAAAAACGGTCATGCTTTTGTTGAAGGGTTTCATGTGCATTCTTTAGCCTTAAGGAGCATTTTTGTGGTGATATTATTATTTTTTGAACAAAACCCCTTTTTTATTTGTTGGAACCTGATCACTTTTGTTCACTTTGCTCCTCCTTTTTTACATGTTGCAGGACTTATTTAAAGTGGAAAAACTTATGCTGTCTGAAAAGAAAAGAAACTGAGTTTGAAGTTTTCCTGCTTTTTGATTAATTAAATAAGCTGCATTATCCCACTCACTCAAAACTCACAAGATTATTTATTTATTTATTTATTTATTTATTTATTTATTTATTTATTTATTTATTTATTTATCTTAGTGGAAACCAACTGTCTGCTTCATAAATCACAAACATCAAATCAGCCCACTAACACAGAGCAGCAGAGGAAACACATGAGGACAATTTGCTGGGCTGGATCCAGGCTAAATGAGCTCTGCATTAATGGCCTGCATGAAGCACAAAGACTGGATGGCTCTTGGCTCTTAGAACTCCCAGAAGTGGCTCTAACAAGCCAAATCAAGAGCTGATGGGAGCTGCTGACACATGCCATATAAACACACACACTCGTGCATGCACATAATGCAATATCTGGCAGTGTGTTTGTGGACTACCACTGCCACTTTCTGCTTACTGACAACAGTAAGAGCTTCCTGATTTTGCTGACAAATGTTCAGCTTGTTAGGGGCATCACACTCAAAAAGGGGCAGGAGTCACCACAGTAAGCATATTCATGCAGGGAGTTTGTTTAATGCTGCAGTCAGTGGATCAAATGCATCGGCTGAAAATCTACCTCGTCCATATGCTTCTCTTCTTTTCCTCTCCTCTCTGTCTCGTTCTATCACGTCTTGTCAATTTGCTCGAGTCAATCAAAGCTGCCTCTCTTTCTTTCTCTTGTCTCGGTTCCCACCTCCCCTCTCCCCAGCTTCATTTTGCTCCGTGCGCCGCAGGGGCAAGGAGCACAGCGGCGGCACCAGTTGCCTTTACACGCCTCACTGCACCGTCACGCCTCCTGTCTTGCTTCTTATTCATCTCTCTGTCTGCCTGTCTGTCCGACGCCATGATTTCTGCATTAACTGTCATCCTCAGCTGTCTCGACTCTTGGTGGATGTTAGTCTCAGCCCTGTTTTTGTGTTTCCAGCAAGCTGTTACTCAACACTCTTCAAGGCACTCGTTGTAAATGATAAAATTAAACATAATAAAAAGGTTATTCTGAACTGTRTCAAAAGGTGCCGTTTGAAAGGGTGTAGTTTTCCAGATATAGTCTATTGACATGCAACACTGAAATGTGGGTCCATACTCCATGTAAACAAAATACTTGACTGAGTTCACCAAAAACCAAGAGGAAGTTTGACTCGAATGATTGACCTACATTTGACTGGCTATAGTCTGTGTAGGTAGTTTTCTTGAGATTGTTTTTAAAAGCAACCTGCACATTTTACTTAACAAATGTGAGCCTAAACATGTAGCAGTATGTTAAAACTGTTGGACATGTATCCCTAAATTGGTCTTTCACAAACATCATCAGTGTTGAACATTTTTCAGTCACTTCTGTTGTTCAGGTAAACAAATACACATAGATCAGGGATGGGCAACTTAAATGACRGAAGGGGCTACAATTTTTTATTGACACTAGAGGACCATATAGTGTTACACACTTACCCAAATGCAATAAAACTGCCTTTAAATGTTTAATAAACCAACATACAGTACAGTTGCTGAGCACGTTTTTTTTACTCAAATACACTGTATGTGTAACAACAAATATGAACACAAAACATTTAAAACTAGAAGCACTCGGAGAGTGCAAACCTCCACCAAGACCAAATACCCCCATCCTGTTAGAGTTAATGCGCAAAAGCAGAGATGGAAACACATTTGCCGAATAAGTTCTGACGTAGTGAACATTTAAGCAGGCAGTATGCACGGGATTTCTTCTCGGTGGAGTCCCATGTGAAAAAAAACAAAAAAAAAGTCAGACTCGTCACCCGACGTTATTCATCGTCAAACTGGTGTCGGATTAAGCTCCTAAGTTTTCATCAGTCACATTTCACCATGTAAAACGTCTGTTTTATCCCCTTGTATGAGTTTGTAATGGTTTGACTCTTTATAAAGTGCTTCCTGTCTCCCCCCGTCTCCAAACTTTGAGACCCGGCARCTCTCTGTTTACAAGCCTAGTAGAGAGAAACTGTTTTGATTGGTTGTTTGGGAAATGTGGTGTGTTTTGAGGAAATGGGAAAAATAGGTTTCATGGTGCAGTCACGCACTTCCTGGTCACAAAAACATTCTGTAAATGCGCACATTATGGCAAAAAAT